TCCAAAAAAAGGGGAAATACATCTGGATGGGGACGCTGTGCCCAGCGTGCGGCGCTACCTGAGGAAGGCTGACGGAGCGCTGCCCCCGCAGCTCCAGTATTCGGTCGCTGTGGATGGAGGGGAGGCAAAGGTGAGGAATTCCACCTGGATGTGGTCAAGGGTTGTTTGTTTTACTCCTACGGCAGACGCTTAAAAACTCTGCACTGAAAAAAGGGAGGAAACTGCCCCCCCCACCCCCTCAATTTCCTTTTGCTGTTTCAAAAGTCAAGAATAACAAAAAACTCTTGTTTTTTAATTATTTATTTGAGTCTTGACTTGGTTTAGGGCAAGGAAGGTTAATAGAATCACAGATAGGAATAGACAGGCGACATCAGTGGCACACACGGTATTCACAGTTTACTGTTTTACAAAGAGTTGTGTGTTATAAATGCAATGCTCCGCTCATGGCAATACATATGTTGGACTTTAACACCACCACCACCGTGCTATTTCTCTCTTTCACTCCTTGCCCCTAATGTAAAAATAATCCCAAATGGCAGAATACTATTAAGAAGAGTCACACGCACACTAAAGCAAAACCAGCTTATAACCTGTGATACAAAACCCCAAACTCATGGGTTAAGGAATTCCAATAGTTTATCCAATTGAAGGAAAGGTTAGGTATGGCAACTAAGCGATGTGAGTACTTGCACAGAGAACATTGCCATTATTGTAGGTCTGAGTATATAATAATGCAATGACTGAAAATTTAAAACTGACAAAATCAGCCTAGAAGTATATGCATTTTCCTAGGAATGAGGATAGTTAAACATTAGAACAATTTACTGGGTAAGGAGGTGGCCTTATGATTATTTGGAAACTTATGTATAGGATTGGGTATCTTTCTACATGCACCCTTTCACCAGCCTTCAGAGAGAAGTGTCCTAGTTTTGGCCCAGGCTGGCAGCCAGACACCACAACAACCACTCACTCGCTCACCCTCCCCCTTCCTGGGGATGGGGAAGAGAATTAAAGGGGTGAAGAGAAAAGAGACTCCTGAGTTGAGAGAAAAACAATTTAATAACTAAACTACCATAATATTGACAGTAATAATGATTATAATAGCAATATATACAAACATACAAATGAATGATGCACAGTGATACTGCTCACCACCCAATGACCAAGGTTCAGCCCATTCCTGGCTAACGATCCCAGAGCAGGGAGTCCCAAAACCACAATCCTGGGACAGAGACAAGAGCGCGAGTGTCCAAAAGGCTGCAACAACCCTGAGAGCAGGGTGACCCAGAGGGAGACAATGCCAAGCGAGAGAGAGCACTTCCAGACAGACCTTCACCTATACACTGGGCATGACGGGTGATACGGAATATACCATTGGCCAATTTGGGTCTTAATCCTAAACCTAAGATTGAATCTTAGGCTAGTAACTGGGGCTGTGCTCGCGAGTGTCCAAGAGGCTGCAACAACCCTGAGAGCAGGGTGACCCAGAGGGAGACAATGCCAAGCGAGAGAGAGCACTTCCAGACAGACCTTCACCTATACACTGGGCATGACGGGTGATACGGAATATACCATTGGCCAATTTGGGTCTTAATCCTAAACCTAAGATTGAATCTTAGGCTAGTAACTGGGGCTGTGCTCCCTCGCAGCTTCTCCTGCCCCTGCAGACACTGGCACCGCAGAGAAGCTGAAACTGTGTAGGGAGGGCTTCTGCAGGAAGAATTTTTTTTCCATGTCAGATTGTCAAGGAACTTAGAAAATTTGTCATTTCAAGATTCATTTCTCTCTGCAGGACTGATCACAATTGTATACTAAAGTGAAAGTCTCCTAAAGATATACAAGAGTCTCAAGTGCTGAAGACACATGAATCCTCTCCTGCTCTTGGACCAGAGGCAGGGTTCAGTTTCCAAAGAACTTAGGTGCTTCGTTTTAAGACACTGTAGGAATTACCAAGAGAAGTTCAACAGCCTGTGGTTTGTAGGAGATCAGGCAAGATAATTAGACATTTCCCTGGCCTAAAATGTGCATAAATCTTTTTATCCCCTGTGATCCTGAGAATACTTTGTCTGTTAGAGTGAATGTTTGCTTAAAGTAATAATAATGCATAGAATCATAGAATGGTTTGGGTTGGAAAGGACTTTAAAAGATCATCTAGTTCCAACCCCCCTGCCATGTGCCCCTATATACAGTATGTACAATGACAAAGACAGTTTTGTGTAACTCTTGGCCTTGGCCTTGGCCTTGTTTTCCTGGGGTAGATGCAGCAACTGGTCTGAGTTCATGGATGAGATGTGCATTTGGTAAGGGACAAGAGTCTCAAAAGCCACTTGCCCCTTGAGTCTGACAGACTAGTAGTTTATCGCTGTGGCAACAGAGCATGTACTGAGAACATGCAATAGAAATATCCCTAGAGGGTAACTGTACCTTCTTTCAAGCCACGGCATTATTTCTGTAAACAGCAGAAATGTTAGATATGTTGGGAAAGTCCCAGCATGGTGCAACAAAAGAAAAGGAGGAGACGAAAAGAAAGCAGAAGTAATTCCATCCTTTAGGATGTCACAAGCATCTTAATTACATCTCGTCATTATCTGCCTTTGACAGGGAGGAAGAATCTAGCATGTCTTTCAGTAGCTGCAAAATTAATTTTCTTTGTGTTCTGTTTTTAAGGCAAAAGTGGAATTGCAGGTACTGCTGCCTCATATGTATCCTCATGTAGCTCCTCAGCTTTTTGCAAGGTCAGATGCACTGCACAGACAGCAACAGCTGCAGCTCAACACTGGTCTCGCTTCTCACATCAGCTCTTTGGCTTCAGGTGAACTGTGTGTGTATGAAGCTGTGCAGTGGGTGAAAGAAAACAGCCTGTCGTACCTGGAAAACAGTAAGATTTCTTCTGGAAGTGCTTCAGAAGAAGTCAGAGTTCAAGAAACATTGCATCGCATGTGGATCTATAGCCATCATATATATAGGCAGGAACTGAGGAAAAAGATTTTTGATTGTGCAAAGAAGTTAAATCTGACTGGCTTCTGCCTGACAGGGAAACCCGGCGTCATCTGCGTGGAGGGACTCAGAGAAAACTGTGAAGAGTTTTGGCGTGTTATTAGATATCCCAACTGGAAGCATATTTCATGCAAGCACGTGGAGAATATAGAAACGGAGGGAAGCATCGATAATCTTCGTCTCTTTCATGCTTTTGAAGACCTACAGTTTCAAGCACATGGTGATTATGGCCTGAGGAATGACTATCACATGGATCTTGGCCAGTTCCTAGAATTCCTGAAACAACATCAAAGTGGACATATTTTTCAGATTTTATTTGGTGTCGAAGGCAAACTTCCAGACAAATAAGAGAATCTCTGTAAGGAGTTGTAATTTTTGACAGCAAGGAATGAAGCTAACATTGAAATATTGTGCCTTATAGCTACTGTGAAAAGGAAAACTGTTTAACAGACGAGAGGAATGGTTCAAGTAGTTAATCTTGGCTTCTGTTCTGAATTGCCCCATCTTTTTTGAGAGGTGTTTACTTATTTTCTGAGACTCTAAAATTGTATTTGTCACTATGAGCCACACCTCAAAGTGCTTGCAAGGTGATAAAAATCCCACCCTGTAGCATCCTGAATTACTTCTGTTTCCTCATCTGTACTGTGCTGTATGTCACTCGGCTGAGGTGCAGACCTGTAGTTAACTTCTGCATATAGTTGTGGGGATACCAAAGTGGCTGCAGTCACAAATTAATGTGGTTTACAAAACAAAAGCACACCCACCTCAAGTAAATCTCACTTCTACATTCATGCATTAGTGCATGCAATGGCTTTTACTACTTCATGAAGCATCTGCTCTCACTTAACCCATCCATGAAATGCAAAGGTTTGTGTCCAACCGCAGGACCAAGTTTTGCTTTTAAATAAATGGGAGGGAGGAAGAAGCCCACATCACCCATCCCTTGTATTGATAGTACCTTTGGGTAGTACCTACACAGTTATATTGCCAGTGCCACCATTTTCACAGTCCTCTGCCCATCATCTCATTACAGTCTGGTTATGTTACTGTTATGATTGTAATTTTTCAGGTGCTCAACACATGGCATTTTATATTTACGTTGTTAGGCCAAGCACCTTGGAAATTACAATGTGTAAGATTAGACAAAGTTCAGTGTTTCCTCTTTTTTTCCCCTACATTACATAAGGAAATTTATGTAAAATATCTAAAAAAGAAAAAAACCCTCTCTATATATTAGACATTAAATAAAAATACCTATAACTTTATCAGTCTTTTCTGTGTCAAATTAGTATCGAGAGACAATTTTCTAGTAGCTTGTAACAGGAAATCATATATTTCCTGTTATAAAAGACATGCTGAGCAATAAAAGCAGACAGTGTTGAGCTGTAGGGGTTTGGCTGTTCAAATCTAAACCCAGGCCATTTCCACAGCAGCTATGTAAAGACTGTGTTTCAGTACACTCGGCTGATGACTGAAAAATTTTATTACAAATGAAACACAAGGAAGTGTTTTAGTAGTATTTTCACAATGGCAATATATTGAAATACAGAGGATGTGTTTCTGGTTGCTCAGAATAATGATTAACGTACATTCCTTCACTGTGGTAAGTATATTGTTTGTATGAGCATAACTTTGGCCAAAAGCACAGTAAGGCGAAAAATATTTACAGGTTCCCATTATGCAATGAGGGAAAAAGTGCCTCTTTGTGAATTCAGGACCTGCAGTCTGTGGCTGCAGCAGAGCTGAGGACAAATAAAATTCATTTTTGGTTTTGCAGAGATAACTCTATAGCATGAGAGCAGAAAAAAAAAAAATGTTCAAGTGCACTCTGTTTCCAGAACTGTCAGTACATTTTTCTAGGAGTGGTAATTCTGTAACAATAATTTTGGGGGCTTTTTTTAGAATTATCAGTGTATCAGTGTAGATTCCACATGATCATGACTCAAAAACAAAACAATTTGCATTTGTTCCTGTTGGGAAACTGCCAACTGATAATCTTTTTCCTTTAAAGTAGCAAAACTAACTAGTTTAGAAATAGGCCTTATGCACGAGATTTCAACCAGAAGGAAATGGGAAAGGCAACAGTGGCATAGGGCAGAAAGTTTGTGCAGGAGGGTGGTCAAACAATTCAGAGATAGTGCTGTCTCAATCTTTATTCTGAGCATGACTTTTTCTAAAGGAAGAAGCCACTGATAGTACAATCCAATCATGTCTCCTTCTAAGGGAAACCACAGACTTGGGACTTTAATTTCTGGAAATGCTAATTATGTCTCCTGAATAATGCATGTCACGAGCAGTGTCCCTGGATGCGTCCGTTGTGGTCTGCAGAGGGAATCACTTTTTTTTGCAGAGGAATAAGGGACACTGCCAGGCGTCACTTTTGATAACTGGTTGACAGAGGAGAAAGGGTAAAAAAAAGTAAGATGTCTTGAGCTGAAATTAGCATGTAGGTGAACATACTCAGAGTGCTGAATTTTAAAAGCTAAAAGACCATACTGAAGAAATGGAGCTAACCAGATCATTCAGATACTAGCAAGCATGAGAAATATTCAGTAAATATCAGAGAATTAATAAAAAGTGTTTGTTCCCCTCATAATGATGTACTCTTTTCCCCATAATAATTATTCTTCTAATAGAGGTCAGCTGGGTGATTTGGAAGTTTGTTACAAAGAATAATACTTGACCACATATGATGTGTGATTAAAAATCAATTGGCCTCAAATACTACAGGAATTTCTAAGGTTTAACACATAAACAGCCTACTACTAGCCAGATGACTGATGGTACCATTTGTTTGCTTAAGTTCTCATTGACATTTGTGAGAAAACTCTCAACTCAAACTCTCTTCCCCTTATTTTGATAACAGAAAGATCTGTAAAACTATAGTATAGGATATCTGAAGGAAAATAACAATCGAAATAACCAAACACCACAAATACATTTCTCAGATTTTTATTTTCTGATGTATAATTAATATGATTTCTTAATCTGAGTTTTTAACCACATATTACAATTTAGAAAAAAGATTTTTCCATCTTAAAAAATTATCTATTCTCAGGCTTCCTAGGCAGAAATGTTCTGAATATTTTAATACTTTTTAACTGCTGCTATTTTGTTCACTTGTCATTAAATATTTACAGTTTCACTTTCATGGCTTCTTCAGGCCAAGTATAAGAGTCAGCCACAAAGCTGTTGTAATCGGTACTGTAAACCTGGGAGCGGATGAAGGCTTCTAGGTCTTCAGGCTGAGGATAGGTGGAGGCAGTGTTATTCCTGTAGGCTTCTTCTGCGATCTAGAAGGATGCATTAAAATCTTTATTAGTGTTCATGAACTATTTGAGTACATTGAACAGGATTTAAAAGTAGGAATTAGTTCAAAATCAAGATGAGATGTCATCTTCTGCGGTGCTGACAGCCACCTATACTTATACTGGATCCCGGCTCGTAGATAGCGGATAGGACGAGGAATAGGATGATGTCTGCATTTGAGTGAGTCTGACTCATGCTGCTTTCAGACAGGATTATGTGTCCTTGCTGTTACAAATACAGTGCTCCTCCTCGTCCAGTAATACCTTAGCTTTTATTGTGCAGCAGTGGATAAAATATTCTACAGACCTCAAGCGCCGAGATACAATTTCTGCTTTTCTATCATCAGGTTACCCTGATTTACCATCTTCTCCAAAGCACTGTAAGAAAAACGTGATTTGTTCAAAGCTCCATGCTCCCTGCATATTAGAGAAGTTGATTATTTGTCATAGTTTGATAATATATTTCTTAAAGGTAAATCATTATAAAAAATTACTTCTACACAGCACACAGGATTGATTCTAGAGATAGCTGCGAGAAGTACGAATATTTGCTTGCTTTTTCCTCACCACGGTTGAGTAAGATCTTAATTTATACTCCATGTTTAATATTCCACAAAAATTTGAGAGCATTCCTCCCTTGGAAAAGGCAGAGGCCATCGATAAACCTCTTGGGCTGTAATAAGCCAGAACAGGTATTTGCAGGAATAAAGTTCCAACAGAGATCAGGCGGAAAGAATCATTTGGTAAGATTTTTTTGTGTGTGTTTTATATCACACGCACACGTGGAGGAGCGATTTCTATCACGGTGTTTCTGCCAAACACACGGGCAGTTTGACTCTGCCTGAGGAATTTAGGTAACGTTTGGATATCTACAGAACGGAGTTATTACTTGCCTAAGAAGATGTGAATCGTGAGAAGGATTTTTTGTTTAAATATACAGAATGACTGAAGCTAGGGGATCTGTTTCATGCATGAGGGCTCCTTGTTATTCTTTCAAAAGAATATGCAATAAGTGGAATTATTCACAGTAAGGTGACCAAGAGAGAAAACAATAATTGGAGCAAAAAAGGTTACAGGAGACTAGCAAAATAACCTACTAAAATGCTGAAAAAACCCCCTAAAAAACAGAACGAAGGAGGAACTGGAATAAATACATTATTTGAAAGATTCCTCTTCTTCTCTCCAGGGCAGCCAAATTTCTTGGGAGACTGTGGGTTTAGGTCAGTTACTGAAAATCCATCAGCAGCAGTATTTACCAGTAAAACCCAACCAGCCGAACAACCCCTGGCCCAGACCTGAGCCATTAGCAACAAGCACCCTCTGTAGTTAGTTATTTTGATAGGCCAGAGTAAGGATGGCAACAAAAGGGACTAGTGCCTGGACACAGGGTGACATTTGCTCTCGCAACAGGCAGCTGCTAATCAGGCAGGGCCAAAAGCCCTCCGCTGCGCAGCTGCCACGGGAACCTGCTCCTAACTGGGGGACAGTGCAGCCTGGGCTCTACAGACATCAGCGCTTGCTAGAGTTCCACCTCCTTCCTTCTTGTATTCGAATTACATTTATGAATTTAAATTTAATTTTGAAACTGCTGCTTGTCCAAGATTGATTGATGTAATCCAACTTCAAACAGTATGAAGGTGTGTTAGTCAATCAAATCAAAGAGAAAAGAAGTCACAAAGACTGAAATGACTTACCCTCACAGCAATTTTCAGCGACACATGCTGAATAGTGACTAACGGAGGGTACAGACGACCTTCCTGTAAATTCTCCTCGGAAACTTGCTGAGCTATTACCTAGAAATGAAGCAGATATGATTAACTTGAAACGCAGATGCAGCTGTAGCTTCATTACTCCGTGATCTTAACTCCTCTTCTACTTTTTAATCTCTTTGGTGGACTTGAAAGTTTCATTTCTTTAACTGCCCACCTTTGTACCTTCTAGGGAGCTGCCAGCCAGAACCAAATCTAAATCTCTTCTAAGCAAATTCAGCACAAAATTCATTACAAAAACGGTCTGACTGTGTGCAGTTTCTAATAGCTA